TAAATTTCTTTTCTAAATCAAACACTCTAAGTTATTTTCAAATAGTTGCGGGTATCTTTATTATCGTGTTTAAACCTATAAAATATATTTGGTCAATATATAATTACGAAAGAAAATTTAATTATATCGCCTCCCTTTGTACCATAAAAATTCATAAAAACGTTTTCCATTTGAAAATTCAACAACTTCCCATTTCTACCAACGAAATTTCGCGAACAGAGAGGAAAGTAATCTCAAGTGGCTATACATTTCTACCTGAAACTTCTTCCTGTGGTTTTTTCTTTTTTTCTTCTTTTCTTTTTCTTTTTTTCTTTTTTCTTTTTTTTTTTTTCCAAGCAAGCTGAACTATTACCCTCGAGAAAGATATATAATTTACTGGACCTATACCTGGTCGTTTTAATACGTCAGTGTTCCAGCTTCCCTTTTTTCCCCTCTTTCTCGCACCTGGTTTTCTTTTATCCTCTTTTTCCTCTTTTCCCTCTCTCCACATCTCTTTCCAAAGAGAATTCAGTAGCAAATTAAAACCACGGGGAATTTATTGCCAACTCCTGTCTGACACCGTTTAAGATAACTAATAAGTGCCGAAGACGCGTATTAACGAGCTCTTCATTCTTCTCATTATACCGGGATTCTGGGGGCCGAGATTTTTGCTCAAGTTCGGCCCGTCTCGATGACGATGAAAAATGAGGCGCAAAATCGAGATTCCGCGACTCGACAAGTAACATAACGGAAAATTCATTTTGTCTCGAAAACCCACCTACCTCGGATCCTATTTAAAGACTTATTTACCATGCGGCAAGAAAAATAGATATTTAATCAACTTAATGCGAGGATTTAATTCCATATGACGTATTTTTCCATTTTTTTGATTAAATCAACAAAAATTTCTGAACACAAAATATATGAGAAAAAATGTGTTTAGTTTAAAAAAAAAGAAATATAAAAATGCACTGAACAAATAATTTTCTTAAAGTTTAAAAAGATTAAAATTTTTAATCAAAATTTTGGAATGATTTAAGTAATTTTTTCTTGGAATGTATTTAAAATTGATGAAAATAAATGAATAATGTAATTTAATAGTTTATGCATAATTTTTAATAGTTTATGGATAATTTTAAATGTAAAGTATAATAAGATAATTTTCAAATCAAAATCTTATACTTTGAAGAAAAATAAAATGGCGCTCATCCCATTTCCTATTCAAATTATTTGCATATTCGTAGAAGGAACAATATTAATTATTAGTATTAATACTAATACAGTAGTTAATCGATTTTTTTATCCGATTTAATGTTTCTTGAAAATTTAAAAGAACTGTTTAATTATACAACTTTCGCCTATAATTTTAATGCAAATTTAATGTGCTTATAATTTCATAAATATATTTTAAATAATATTTTTGTATTTATTTTGATTTTTAAAATCTAGTAAAGATCTTAAAGATTTTACGAATATATTAATATTTTATAAAAATGAAATTTCTATATTTATAATGAGATGGAATATTGTTAATGAATTATAAACTGATATGCAAGGCAAATTTGTAAAATGAGAAATCTTCAGAAATTAAATATAGCAATATTTTCATTTTAATATTATAAGATATAAAATAAATATATTTAAATGATATATACATTTCGATAATTGAGAAAATTAGTAGATTTGCCAAGAGGACATTTTAAATTTCTTACCTGAAACAAATAAAAATATCTTCTTTTTACATGATGTTTATAAATTGAAAAAAAACAATTTATAATTATAATTGTTATTAATATTTTTAATCGTATCCATACTAAGAAAATAATGCATATTTATAGCAAAAAGATCAATATTAAAATAAATATCAATATAAAATAATATATAATATAAATAATATTTTAATAATCTTAAAACATCTTTAAAATTTTGTTATACGGTGTTTTGTTATTAATATAAATTTTTTTATTAATATAATGTTTATTACTTAAATTGTTATTCTATATCATTACATGATATATCGGTGAAAATTATACATATATCTGCATATTAATAAAATAAGGATATATTTTTCACAATTTTACGCTTTTCTACTTTTTCAAGCTTCATCTCGATCGAGCTCCTTGTTTTAACGATAAATCGAACCTTTCTAGAATCAATTAGGAAAAAACATCAAAGTAAACATTTCGAAATTATCTCGTACATATAATATTTTTCCAAAAACCAAAAGAAAAAAAGAGATAAAATTTAAGATAAACAAAATAGAGAACATACATAAAAAAGGCAAAAGCAAAATCCTATTCCAATTCAATGTCTCATCTCAACTACTACGAGCGGAAAAAACCAACCAATGCTCTTCAACAATAAACAAAAGCAAAGTTAAGTTCGGCAAGTAATTAGCCATCAAGAAAAAGAGTATACATACTTACACGAACTCGGTAGAACTCGAGCTTAGAGGCCGAGGCAGAATAATACGGTAGACAAGGTCTGTATGTACCAGGAACGCCAAAGACTAAGTGTTACGAAGTTCTCTTTGAGGAGGTGAGGTATAAAGGGAGGCAGCAAAATTCGCGACGTTTCCCCAAGTGCATTAGGAAGACCCGCAAAGCCCGATGGTCGAGGGTTTTGTACACATCGCTGCCGTGATGTTTGTCCGCAAATAGAATTTCCTCGCGTCTTTATTTACTGATAACTGCGGCTGGCCTATGCTCGTGCACCGGGAACCGGCCTTGAATAGCCCATTGCTATGCGCGAGGGGTGAAACAGCTTTCACTGGTGAATGAATGCATTGGACTCGAACACGATTGTGCACAATGACGTTTCGGCCACGTCTTCCCCGCGGAACATGGCTCGTTATGCCGGATTCACGAGAGTTTCACTCATCGTTTCCGATCTCATACGCATTTTTACTCGATCGAACCTTTCTGTTTGCTCGACCGAATTAGTCGCTACTATCTTTCACAATGAAGTGGTTGTTTAGTTTACCGATTTCGTGGAAATTAAACACAACGGCAGTTTGCTCTGTTTACGCGAACTTATTCTCTGACAGGATGTTCATGTAATTAGATTGTTCGTATAATAAGAATCTATCTAATTATGCTACAAGCATCAATTGTCACTTTTAATCACATATATATCTGTTCGTTTAATTAATAAAATTTTATATTCATATAAAAATAAGGAATATAAAATTAATCTTCATACGATATTTTTTTTAAAATATATTTAAAATAAAATGACGTGTTAGATATTACAAATTTAGAAATAAGCATAATTTTAAATTAATAAAAGTTTACGTTATATATAGAAAAATTTACGTTATATATAGAAAAATAATATATCAAGTATTATAAATTTATTGAAAATAATTTTGCAAAAAAAAATTGTTTTAATGCTTATTAAATTAATTTCTTAGTTATTTCGTATCATAGATATAATGCATATTATTAATTATATTAATTATATATTATTTACTACGAATTATTCGATGATTATATTTTAGAATAATTATAGTTTCTAATTTTTTTAATTTTTCATAAAAAATAATATATATAGATAATTCACAAGTTCATGGTGAATAAAAATAATAATTCAAAATTTTTTTAAAAAAAAATTCTTTTCTAGAAATTAATACTTGCTTTTTTTTTAGATCGATAATATATTCAAAATATTTATTTAATATTTACATTAAATTAAAAATAAATATATTAATGTATATTATTTTCATTAATGTAATAATTAATTTAAATGTATTAATTTGTTTATTACATGAAATATATTATTATAATATGATCATTAAAATAATATGCAGGAATGATATTACATCATCAATATTATATCATCAATATTGCAAAGGAAATTTCTAATTGTATTTCATGTTTTAACTATTGTTAAATGAAATTAACATATTCTAAATCAAATTATCTATATAATTATTACAATGTTCAGAATCAAAGATTCAATCAATAAAAACAAGTATATCAATGCATGTAATTTTGATTATAATTAATATATAAAACAAATATATAGATGATATTTTATAGATGAAATAAATAGAAATAAAAAATAAATAAAATAAACAGATAAATCGTTTAGATTAAATTATAGATTCTTTCTAATTCATGATTTATAAACATATGGAAGACATATAAATCAACTATTTAAATTCAAGTAATTATAAAAGTACAATTAGATAACTGTGATGACTGAACAAAAATGAAATATTAGAAATTTTGGTTAAAAAATTATGAGAAATCATTGGAGTGCAAAATTAATAACATGATTGATGAATTTGAAACTATTTAATTATAAATCGTCTCTTTCATAGAAAGATTTCTTTCATAATATGTATAATATTTTCTTCGATATTTTTGCAAAATACGATATCAAGTTAAAAGATTATATAATTAATTAATATAATATGATAAATTATTCTAAAAATTATTTTTGACTCTGTAATATTAAATGTATTCAATTTTTTTTTACACAAAATTTTTCATCTCAATTTTCATTTTTTTTATGACTTATTTTAAAAATTTCTGTTTGAATTCAATTCTATTGAAGAAAGATATTTCTATTATAATCATTCATTTTCTAGAGATATGAATGAATATAATATGAAAAGACAGCAGAAAGTGAATAAAATTTAATTAATCATAATCATATGCACAGATGTAATGATTAAATGCTTGAAATAAAAAAATTAAATACAATTTATTCATTGATTTTTATACGATATTATATTTTTTAAAACTATTCTTTTATATTTTTATGTCTATTGTATTCTTTTTTATATTTTTTTGGAATCCCAATTTACTCATAAATGAAGACAATATAAAATAATAACATAAAAATTATTTAAACATCTTTTTTATTATTTTTTTATTATTATTTTATAATTATTACAACTATTATTCTATCAGTAAGTAAGCTTACTTATGGTGACTAATTATTTTATATTAATTACTGAAAACTAATATATAAAAAATGAATAAAAATAATGAATAAAACTTATATTCTTTATATACTGTATATATATATATTGCAAATCATATAATTCCAAAGAAAAGTTGGTTAATTTTATCCATTGAATGTCTTCATAACTCACTCAGTCGGTAACGAAAATCTATCCGATAAAATACAGATTTCAGTCCTTCTGTCAAAAAAACTGTCCTCGGCTCGTTTCTCGTCCTCTGATTAGCCCATGGAAGCAAAAACGGTCCAATAATAAATCAATCAGCAGGTAGTAGCCGATTTTGGCTGAGATGAGAAAAGGGACGAAATGAGAAAGGTATGAAAAGGCTCCTTGAATCATAGAAAGGATCAGACCTAATTATAATATCAATACCATATTAGATTAATTAGTGTCACATAGTCAAGCGGCAGCCATACGCGACGCCAGTGTTGTTAAGATTAATTGCCTTGTCCTCAGCCAAGTCTGTCCATAGACTCCCCTGTATTTCTTGAACGCCGCGGAACGCGCATATCCTCGGGCAATCAAGTCCACGTCTCACAATCCCCATCGATATGTCCATCTTGAATCAGATAAGATGAAACTCCTTGACCACGCGTTTTACAGCGCATGCTGCAATGAGACGGAGGAAATCGGTTTTTCATCTGCGATCGCCGCTTATTGCATTTTTATCTTGATTCATGGAAACGTGTTGCTTTATATAGTTTTTTATAAATACATTGAAATAAAGATATACGAAATGATAATATATTATCATTAGAATAATTGTTGGTAGTTTACGCTGAAAAAATAAATATAATATATTTGTTAAGATTGAAAATAAATTTGTTAAAAATTTATTTAAAATTTGTTAAAAATTTCAATGATCTTGAAATATTTATAATACTGAAAATAGTTTATGATATATGTCTAAATGTGTACAATTAATATATGATGATATGAAAATAATTAAATATAAAGAGAAATAATGCTGAAATGAAAACAATTATGTTAAGATTGAAAATGAACTTATAGAAAAATTATTTTCTATTCAAAAATTGATTTTAATGATCTTGAAATCTATTTTTAATACTTAAATTATCTATAATTGGATAAAAAGAATTCTTGTAATGTCAAATGCTTAAAATTTTTTTTTAATAAAAAAAAAATACATTATTCTTTTTATTCTTCTTTATTTAGAAATTAATATTAACATTATATTAAACATAATATTAAACATTGAAACGAAATATTCTATATTATTGTAATAATTAACTTAAATTAACATAAAACTTTGATGTATAATTTTGAGAAATTATAAAATGGCATAGTTAAAGTTAGTAATGTAATATATTACAGTAAAAGTTAATAATTGCAATAATTTTAATATAATTTGTAATAATCGCAAACTATCGTTGGAATATTTCGAAATATCGACATAGTCACATGAACTGATTCTTCAAAGTTTGAGTATTGAATTCAATTTTCATTCATGCTTTTACATGTGAAATCATTTTATTGAAATAGTCAAATTTTTTTAATTTCATTTTTTTTTATGAAATATTCGTTATATTATAATCAGCGTAACCAAAATCAAAAAAAAATTTCTTATCTACAAATTTGAAATTTATAGACTAAGATTGACTTAAGTTTAAATTGAGATTATAATCTTACAACAATAGCATTTAATTGACCTTCGCTTAGCGATAATTCATTAAAAAACAATACTAAAGAGATGAGTATGATTAAACTAAATGAAAATAGTATCAAAAAATTATAACCTAATCCAAATTCATCTACAATGATATGAAATATTATAATATTAAAATATTAAATATTCTCTTTTTAATAACTTTCTAATGAATAATGAGTGACGATTAAAACTTTTTGAAAGTTATGTATATTAAAATCAAAATTATTGAAATTGAATTCCTGAAACTTCATAATTATTATCTACACTATATTAAAAATATTTTTGTTAATATATTAAAAACTATATATATATATATAGTTATATATATATATATTTATATATTATATATATAATATAATATATATAAATTTATATATAT